TGAATAATTAGTAATTTAATACTAAAGATTTGGATAAGAAGAACACATTGAGATCTGCGAAACAAATCTTATCTTAAAAAAAAAAAACAGAGTCATCTCCACGTCAATTTATCTCACTTTTCTTGTAAATCAAGATTCCATTAAAAACCTATAAAAATCCATTTCTTCTTCCTCACAAAAACATCACATTTTCTCATATATATCCATCCAAAAGAAAGAAAAAAATATTCCAAAACTTAAAAAATGTTGGCTATATTTCAAAAGACGTTTGCTCATCCACCGGAGGAACTAAACAGTCCGGCGACAAATGTCTCCGGCAAAAACCCTAAACTTCCCGGAGAAACTCTCTCCGACTTCCTCTCCGATCACCCCAACACAGCTTTCTCAATGAACTTCGGTGACTCCGCCGTTCTTGCTTTCTCCCGTTCCGAGAACACTCACCGTCAAAGGTAAATAAACACATTTTCTCCGACCAATCTTCTTTTGATCAAGTTTTAATCTTTATTGGTTTTCTTTTTCAGGGTGTTTTGTGGAATCGATGGAATCTACTGTGTGTTCTTGGGGACATTAAACAATCTTTGTGAATTGAACAAACAATATGGATTATCTGGAAAAGCATCAAACGAAGCTATGTTTGTAATCGAAGCTTATCGAACATTACGTGATCGTGGTCCTTATCCAGCTGATCAAGTTCTTAGAGGTCTTGATGGAAGTTTCGCTTTTGTTGTCTACGATACTCAGAGTTCCTCTGTTTTCGCAGCTCTGGTAAAAACAAAAAAAAAAACCCGAAAACTCGATAAAAATGTTAAAATTTTCGATAAAAGTTGAGACTTTTATGAATTTTTGTAGGGATCTGATGGAGCAGAGAGTTTGTATTGGGGAATAGCTGCAGATGGATCTGTTGTTATGTCTGATGATCTTAAGATTATTAAGCAAGGTTGTGCGAAATCGTTCGCTCCTTTCCCGGCCGGTAAGGAGACAGATTTGATTCGATAAACCGAGCTAGGAAGTTAATGTAATGTGGAGATAAATGTGTGAATGTGTTTGTTTTTGTAGGTTGTATGTTTCATAGTGAGTCTGGTTTGATGAGTTTTGAGCATCCGAAGAATAAGATGAAGGCGATGCCGAGGATTGATAGTGAAGGAGTATTATGTGGAGCTAACTTTAAAGTCGATGCTTGTTCAAAGATCAGTAGCATTCCGAGAAGAGGAAGTGAAGCTAATTGGTCTCTGTCGAATTCGAGTTAATGGAAGAAAGACGAAGAAATCTAATCTAAAAACCAGTGTTTGTTCGTTGATGCGATTTCTGTTACTGTTTTTTGTAGATATCAAAAATAATAAACGCTTCTTGTTTACTTATAGAAACAGTTGAATTCAAAAAATACATCTCGTTGTAAGACAAAACTTGACTCTGTTTGATCGATGCGCGAAAGATGCGGAAAGCTAAAATAACAGTAAGAGAGTCGAAATCTGGTTCCAATCCCATGAGAAAACTCTGATCATTCATCTTTCCACATATCTGCAAACTCATCAGGCTCCAATGGATTTGAGAGCTCATGCATCTTTCTCCTTGTCTTTGCCTTAATCTTCTTAGAGAATTTCCCGGCTTTGATTCTTTTCTCCGACGCTCGAATCTAAAGAAATTGACAGATTTCGTATAAGGAAAGTCGCAAACATTCATTTGGAGTTGAAAATGTTTCGATCAGGTTTACAAATAAAGATCATTGATTGATGATACCTGGTTTGGAGATACGTAGAACGGGTTCTCATAAAGTGTCGGTCCTCCAAAGCTGCCTCCGAATATCTTGATTGGGTTTAGACAGAACCTTGGACCAACCTGTAATCAATAGTGTAATTGTTTCAAACGAAACTAGAAGCGTAATATTCATGCAAGTTAAAAACTCTTTTGTCTACAAACCTCAACAAGGGTCATTTTGTCCAAGCCACCTCGTGCAATTTTGTCTGATTCATTGTGAGGAACCGAAATCTGGTAATTACGGAACCATATATGTTCATCGACAATGGAGAAAACGAATACATGGTCATGGTAAGGCTTCGATTTCCTGTGTTCCTTTGGAATTCCAAATATCTGAGAGAGAAAGCAAAAACCAACACAAATTATATATTATCCAGAACTAAATAACCATCGATTTCACCGAGAGGAATGAATCTAGTAACAACCTGAGTAAGCATCTCCTTCAAGAGTTTCCAGTGCACATCTTTATCGAAATTAGATGAGAATGTCAAAAGCGGTCGTGACCCTTTAAGATGATTCCCAGTGAGTTTCAGCTCTTCCATTGTGTGCACTTTAATACAATAGTAAACAAAATCGAAAACCCTTTTAAGCGCAAATCATAGTTTTAGAAACAGAACTCAGTCATCGAACAAGATACAAGCTAGTTAAACCCATCACAGATTCACAGCTAAACATGTGACTAAAGTTTCACTTTTATAAAATTAAACTTTGAGACATACCGGCATTAACCAAGAACTTCACAGATGGTCCACCAGGAGATTTAACCATCCACATGTAAAGATCTTTATGTTTCCTACACTGAAGATGGAAACAAAAATCAATAAAAATCAACCTATACATTTAAAGATTGTCCATTTCATAAGTAAAGTCAAGTCAATTCTGAAGATTATAGTATAAATCAATCTTCATATACCTAAGCTAAGATTGAGACATACATGCCACACTCAAGGAACAAATCATAACACTATGTGATTATCAATGAACGAATTCAAAGATTGTCCATTTATAAGTAAAGACATACATCAAGCCAATACTGAAACTGATACATACAATATTCATACACAAACCTAAGATTGAGTCATACATTCCACACTTTCAGGAACAAAATCTTAACATTTTAAGACAACTATCAAACTCTGATAAACAAAAAGTCTCAAAGTTACATTGAACAAAAAGCTAAGTTCATAGATAAGTAAGTACCAATAAAAGATTGAAAATTTACCTCGAAAAACAAACAAGAAGAAGATCCTTTAAGCTCAACGAGCTCATTCAAAGTCGCACCTTTACTACTCATAGCTTCAACTTTACTATCTTTCTTACAATGTGGCAATAGCGAGACCATATTCAACATCAAGTGCCGATACCTTCATACCAAAAAGCTAATCAATTTCAATAATTTAAACCCTAAAATCGAAATACCCATTAAATCAAAACAACACCTGAAACTAATTCGACGAGAACAAGTGACCGACACTTTCTCTTTATTCCTGAATGT